AGCAAGCATAGGTATGGCAAAAATGGCATGCAAGAATAGGGGCCAAGAGAGGGGTAATGAAGCAAGTGGTATAAGCTAAACCCAAACTGAAAAATTCCCTTCTACAACACTGAAGAGGGACCAAAAATATGAATATTTACAGTATATGGCAAGCTTCGAATCAATATACAAACATGCTAAAAATGCAATGCAAAATGAGGCTCAAAAGTGGCTATAACATGAGGTATGCAAAATAATCACCAAACAGCCAAAGACCCTTAATAAAACATGTAGAATGGACCAAAATAAGCACTTTTCCAGAACTGTGAAATGGCCAAAAACAAAAGTATGGTAGGCTAACTAAACATGCAAGAATGGGGAATAAAAGAGAGATATAACATGAAGTGGCATATGGAGGTCCCAAACCATGAAAGGACCTAAATGAAAAATGAAGAATGGACCAAAATAAGGACTTTTTCAGAACTGTAAAATGGCCAAAAACAAAAGCATGGTAGGCTGCCATTGCATGCAAGAATAGGGAATAAAAGAGAGATATAAAGGTAGGTACAACATGGAAGTCCCAAATGGTGTTGAGCCCTTCTTCAATGTTGAAGAGGGGCTGAAAATAAGCCTAATATCAGTTTACAACATGCTCGGAAACAGATTACTCATGGGCCAAAAATAGCATGCAAAACTATGACATATAAGAGAATCAATGAAGCAAGTGTATCATGGAGGGCTCAAACAGGGTTGAGCCCTTAATGAAAAGTGAAAATGAGCTCAAAAGAGGGCCCTTTTCAGTTAGGGCCGGAGCTTGAAACAAAAAGCAAGTGGGGCTTACAAATGGATCAAGAAAAAAGGGTCAAAGAAGAGAAAGGTTACTCACCCTTGAAGACTAAAACTTTTGTCGCTTCTTGGACCAATTTGCAGCTCCTTTTTCCTTTGAGAAACCTTCCTTGTTACTGGAAAAGAGGTGGTGGTGGTAGAGCTTGGTGGTGTAGAAGAAATGGTGCTTAGGGACTTAGAGATTTTTAAGGAAATGTGAGGTATTGAGATGGAGTTGTGTATGGAGGCTTGAAGGTGAAGTTTTCCAACCCCAACAAAGGATCTAGCTTGCTTGTTATAAAGGCCAAAGAGGGGTTGTAAAGGTGGGGGAAAAGGAGGGCAACTTTCCCCCACAAAATATCCCCCGGATAAAGATCTTTTCTGGGGGATAAAGCTTCACAGCTGTAAAGTGCACAGTGCAAGGAGCTCGGCCGGCCTATTACTTTTGCTCTAGGTGGCCGGCCGGCCACATCCCCTAGCCGGCCGGCTAGAGTAAGGGTCAAATTGAATTACTGGCCGGTCATGAACTTTTAGGGCCCTCCCAAGTGTGTACAACACAACCATGTGGTTCAAAGTTCAAGAAGATGCCCCCAAGGTGTTCAACATTAGCCCGGAAGTGTGAAAAACGGGCGCCGGAGGGCGTCGGAGGATGTATAACTGGTTGCTGCAACAATTACTGGCTTTGCACCCTTCAGTGACCTCTCCAGTGATAAAACAGAGGTACCTGTCAAAAATGAACGAAAACCGTTGCAAAACGAATGCTCGGGGACCAAAACGCGCAGTTCGAGGTCCCGAAAATGGGCTGTTAAGCACCGAAAATGGCATTCGGCCACGAAGTGGGTTTCTCAGACCCCAGTGTCCCTCAAAAGGGAGAAAATAGGAAGTATGCCAAAAACCGGAGCAATAGGAGATGGTTAAGCGGTCCCGAAACTGAGGCACACGGCCTGACGGCTCCGAAAACCGGAAACCGGACTCCGAAATGGGAAAAAAGGCCTATGGCCACCAAATGTAGCCTACAGACATTGAGAGATGGTCTACAGGACCTCTCCTTTCCCTCAGGAAAAGAAACAAAAAAAAATCGAGTCTGGTTCGCAAATCGAGGCAAAGTACAAAAGAGGGTTCGGAAGTCCGGAGGCAGGGCTCACGGCCGTGACTCTGAAACTTCTGAACGAGCACATTATGCAATATCACCAAGTGCTCAACTGGTGACGTCTGAGTCTCAAGGTCGGTCAAAAATGGGGTGTCTACACCTCTCGGTTTTCCCATCAGTTTGTGAATGAAATACTGTACTAAACCTCAATTTTGTCCCCATTGCATCCTATAGACTATGACAAAATCTAGAAACAAATTTAGGATCCCTATTTGATACAATAGACATGAGAACTCCATGTAATCGAATAATCTCATCAATGTAGATAGTAGCAAGTCTATATGCAATAAAAGAAGTCTTTACAACAAGAAAATAAGCAGACTTAGTTAGGTGCTTGAGGTTGGCCAACAACAAAGTCCATGGTGATATGCTCCCATTTCCATTCCGGAGTAGGGAGAGACTAAAGCAAGCCTGCCGGTTTCTGATGCACTGCTTTCACTTTTGACATTGCATGCACTTGGAATTGAAGTCGACAATTTCTCTTTTCATGTTAGGCCACCAATATACTAGCTTCAAATCTTGGTACATTTTGATGTTTCCTGGATGCATGGGCAACATTGATTTGTGAGCTTCCGCTAAAATTATCCTTTTAGAGTCAGTTTCATCAAGAATACATAATCTCCCTTGAAATCTCAACACAAAATCCTCAATCGTGAATCCCGATTTAGGCTTGGTGTCAAATTCATCGCAAATCTTCTTCAAAAATTCATCATTCATTTGCTTTTGTTTGATTTCTTCAATAATTGCAGGTTGTGCAGACATTGCAGCTATAAAGTTATCTAGTTCAAAAGGTACCACTTCAATTTCAAGTCGTTCAAACTCTAGTAGCAATTCTTTCTGGTCTGTGAGCAAATAAGCTAGATTCCCCACATTCTTTCTACTTAGTGCATCTGCCACAATGTTGGCTTTGCCCGAATGGTAGTGAATCTGTAAATCATAGTCCTTGATCAATTCAAGCCAGCGTCTTTGTCGCATGTTCAATTCCTTTTGGGTGAGAAAGTATATCAAGTTTTTATGATTTGTGTACACTTCACATTTGGTTCCATACAAGTAGTGACGCCATAGTTTCATTGCAAACACAACTACGGCAAGTTCTAGGTTATGCGTTGGATAGTTTTTTTCATGTGGTCTCACTTGTTGGGAGGCATAAGTAATCACGCTACCATTCTGCATTAAGACATAGCCCAAACCATTATAAGATGCATCACTATAAATCATAAATCGTTCCGTACCTGAGGGTATAGTGAGGATTGGAGCTGTGGTCAATCTTGTCTTTAGTTCTTGAAATGCAAATTCACTTTGGTTGGTCCATTCAAATGGTTCTCCCTTTCGAGTCAATTGGTCAATGGCACTGCAATCTTTGAGAAGTCTTGAACAAACCTCTTATAATAACTAGCCAATCCCATAAAACTACAAACTTCTGTTACATTGGCCGGAGTAGGCCAATCAACAATCGCTTCGATTTTCTAAGGGTCAACTGAGATACCATTTCTGTTAACAACATGCCACAAAAATGTTATTTCATCAAGCCAAACTCACACTTCTTCAATTTACCATACAGTTGCTTTTCTCTAACTGTTTGAAGAGTCATTCTGAAATGTTGTTCATGCTCATCCTTGTTTTTCTAATAAATCAAAATGTCATCAATGAAAACAACAATAAAATCATCTAAGAAAGGTTTGAAAACCCTGTTCATGAAATCCGTGAATGTTGCGGGTGCATTAGTGACTCCGAAAGGCATTACTAAAAACTCATAATGTCCATACCTGGTTCGAAAGGTAGTACTGTAGACGTCCCCGAACGTCTCGGGAAGGAATCCCATTTTGTTCATTGGGGCTTACTACAGTTTGGACTCAATGTCATGGTCCTGTATCTAATCTCGCGGAGTGCAACGCAAGACTGATGAATCATCAAAGAGTCCAAATGCGGCAAATCGCTTTGAAAAATTAATTTTTAGAAAGAAGTGCCAAACATGGACTGCTTAGCCAGATATAGAGTCGCCACCTAAATATTTTATTTTGGGGGAATTTAGGAAACCCTGACTCATGCCTAAGGCCACATGTCCGTCATCACCAAAGTTGCCTCAGCTCGGGAACTTGGGTACGATTGGGGAAGGTCACTTCGTGAGCACCCCCGCTCGCCCGATCAAAGATTGGCCTCTACTAACCATGATATCGAGTTTTGAAAACATTATGTGCTCTTATTCCGGTTTATTAGCCTTGAATTACTATGTGATGCACACAGCATACAAGTATAGACTAGATCACCTAAGTTGGAACAAAATATCTCATGTTTGTTTTTGAAAGCGGTTTGCTGCTCGCAAGTAGGCTAAAATGCGGATTTTGCCACCCTCAAGTAGGCTTAGAAAAATATGGTGATTTTCCACTCTCAAGTGGTCTTAAAACTCGCAATCAATGAATTGTTCCAATTCAAATAATCCAACCTTTACCCACAGGCATTCAGGCAGTTATATCACATAAGCAAATAGCCTCATGGTAAGCATGCTATCATGGTAGTCACTCACATGCATGCAAGGATGCTAAAGCATAAACACATACCGAGCACTCCAAGCCAAAGAAAGAAGGTAATTAGAAATCATGCATGAATCCTAACTATGCTGAAATGCCTAATGCAACACATGCAAAAATGCAACTAAGATATGCTCGGCTATTCTAAAATGGCATATGAAATGCAACAGTTGATACACGTATTCAACTCGGAATTGAAATACAATGCAGTTAGTGTGATGCGCCGAGCCCGGTGCATGCAAGACAGATAAATGGATGCAAACATGCGAGCATAAGCAGACTAATTGAAATGTGCCCTAAACTAACCATTATAAGCTAGTAAATAAAAGGGAAAAAGACGTGGAATTGGAAGGCAAGCATCACACACACGCACACTTATTACAACATTGCCCTCCTCCAAGGGCCGAATAAATAATACACATCCGAATGAATAACGAATTACAGCTAATTATCACATAGCCCTAATTAATTAACAAATTAACTAAAATAAATAAGCTAGCATGCAAAACATATGAAATGGGCTGCCTCAGCTCCGTCTTGAATGATAAGGAATGCATGCATGCTCGAGTCGCCTTGCCGAAAAATCCATTGCGATGCCCCGATTTGCCTCTGTTTGCAACTGGTCCCAGAACACTGTACAAAACTCCAGAAGGCTGAAACTCCACCATGTTGTAGGGATACTACCGACCAATTTTTGCGGCTGGCTTCCGGTTTGCTGCAACAGAGAGCAAGAAAGGGGCATGGCAAAGTATTTTCAACATATGTGTGCACGACCACCCTCCCCATCATTGCAGAAGCTCTAGGGAGTGTAGCCCTAGATCCTCGTGCCACCAATCATCCATCTCGATGCATGATGGCCGAGGAGTCGAATTGCATGACTCAATGTGAAATGGATGCACAAATGAACACAATAAGGCCTGAACTCCATCATGGGTAATCAAGAGTGTCGGCGACTGGGAATCGAAGCACGTTTCATCACTTTGAGTACGAAACGTCCCTCGTTTCCCGTGTTTGGACTAAACCCTACTCCAAAACACTATGCAACAACTAGAATGGCATGGCATGCAAACACAATGCAACAACTAGCATGCAATGCTAAACGAAATGCACATAAGACATGCAAACATGCAAGGAGTGACATGCAAAGGTGCAACTAGCATACGCAATGCTATGAACTACGAATAGCATACTCAATGCATATGGCGCTATATGGCATACGCAACGCACATATGATGATGGACATACACAAAGGCATAATCAAGGCATAAACAATGCAACGATCAAGCATGTGACAACATGGACATGGCATACACAATGGAAGATGGACTTAAACTAAAATGAATGGGCCTCAGCCACACTCAAATCAGTGGCCAAACATGATGAAATTAGGCAACGAAAACACATGCGAATATGCACAAATGCAAAGGACCAAACCTAAGGCAGCAAATGCAACTCTACCAAAGCATGGCAAGGGATTAAATATGGCGTACAGTCACACATTTTCCAGCTCTGAAATGTCATACAGAGTGGCTCCGAATCATGCAAACACCTCACACAATGCATACTAGATGGCCCGGATATCGAAACTAGTGAAGTGCATTACACTAGAGGTATGCAAAGCAATGCACAAATAACCAAACTAGCCCCAAACAGTCCCTATGTAGGCCCAAAACAGTAGGAAAATGGACTAAAATGATGACTCGAAAGGCATGGAAATGAAGCTCATACAATGGCCCATAAATGAGGTATTTAAGCATGACTCTCAAACACATTTAAAGAATGGAAAACATGGGAATACGACACAAGTATAGGCTCTGAAATGACATGCTCAATGGCCTCAAAATATGAAAACATCTCAGTATAAGCATGCAATAGGCTTCAAAACTCAAGTCTAGGCAAGGGTATTACACTACAACCATGCATAGAAAGCATCATTCGACCATGAGGCATAAAAATAGAGCTAAGGCAGTCCAAAACATGCACAAAATCAGTTTAAGGCATGGCCAAAAAGTACTAGAATCAAAGACCAAAATAGTATGCAACACAAGCTAGTGAAAAGGGTTTACACTACAAGTATATGAAGCATTCAAGAGGTCACTAAACCAGAAAAATTTAGAGGTCATTGAAACATGGTCAATGCATGCAAGAATGACATGCTCCTTGGATAGGCTATGAAGAAGGTTATTCAACACATGCAAGATGGACACCCAATATGGAAAAACAAGCTTTGGATAGAGCCTATGCAGGTCCTAAAACTCATCAAAAATGGCCTGAAACATGGCTTGGAAGCATGCAAATAAGGGCTCCTTTGTAAGGCCAAAAATGCTAGAAAATAAAACAAGGAGAGAGAGGATCACCCATCTCTGATTGTGGCACTCAAAACAGCATGCTAGCCACTGAAAATCCACTAGATTTCAACGGCTAGAAGGCCAAACAATGGTCAATGCAAAGGCCCTAATGCATGGCTCAAAATATGGCAAAAATGAAGCATGCAAGGGGGTAGATGAACCCCAACAGAAAAATGATCTTAAACAAGCATGTTAAGGGCCTCAAAATAAGACTTTTTTTCAGTTTACACCAAAGCTCAAATATGCTTGCAAGTATGGCTAAAAGATGGAGCAAAATAAGACTCAAAAGAGGGAATAGGGTGTTACCCTTGTAGCTCAGCAACTCCAGCAGCTTATGGACCAAAAATGCAGCTCCTTAGGACCTCTCAAGACCCTACAAGAAGCTTAGGTTGGTGTTGGAGCTGTTAGGCTAAGAGGTAGTGTGCAAAGGGCCAAGGACTATGCACTTTTGGAGCCAAAATAGAGATATAGAGAGGGAGGTATATGTGTATGCCTTAGGGAAATTATGAACCTTCTACAAGGAAGGGAATGCCTTCCTTTATAGACAAGGGAGGCTAAAGCTTTTCCAAGAAGCTTCAAACCTAGGTCCAATATCCTCCATACACATGTATGGACGTGTATGGAGGATGTAGTCTGTGCCTCCCAGCTGGCACAACTGGAACCAACTTACTGAGACAGAAAAGGTGGGAGCTGGCCGACCAGTTCAGGTGGGAGCTGGCCGACCAGTTCAGGTGGTCGGCCGACCACTTACCCTGGTCGCTCGACCAAGTTCAAAAGGTTCAGGTCTCAAAAGCTGGTCGGCAGCCTCCTAGGGTGGTCTCCTCACTCAATGCGAGCTAGTGGTATGGTGGGAGACCAGTAAATGTGGCTCAAAAGTCAGGGAGACCAGCTACCTGACAAGAAAAACCAGCCGGTGGGGAAAAGTGGTCACCAAAAAGAAAAGGTGGTCTCCCACCCTTGTACCACCTTCCAAACAATGAAAATAGGGTCCATGCCAAAAATGAACTGTGGAGAAGTGGTTTGGAAATACTCTTCAGATCCTGGGAGGCGCTAGTGATCCTCAGCTACTCACCTGAAAAGATACAAACACTCCGATCAG